CCCCCTCAACCACACACATACACACACAAACACACACGCGCGCACACACATACACACACACTCACTCACGCGCGCGTACCCACAAGGACCCGTACAAAAGTATGCACACTCACGGATACACCTACAATAGGTTATATTGTAACATTATCACATCGCCCACCTGGAGAAGAGAGGGTCTTACCCATGGTGTGTTCAACAGTGAAGAAGAAGCAGCAGTATCTGATTAATCTAATCTTTTGGATTTTTTTTTAGTGAATAAAAATTAATTTTTGAAAATACTATTTTCACTTGTATGTAAAATGTTTTATTTATTTTAAAAAAATTTATTTATTCATTTAATCCTTTATTTCTTTATTCATTTATTCATTCACTCATTCATTTATTTATTTATTTTTGTCTCGAAAGATTCTGAGGCCCGCTCGATACTCTGGTCTCATTTGCATGCAACAACTTGATGAAATCTACGACCGTCATATCGACATCACTGATATTCTCACAGTGGATGAGGATTCACTTATACAGGTATACACCCACCCCCACCCGCCTTTCCCCTTTCCACCTATACAACTTCTGGGCTATCATTTTTGTTTCCTTTTTAATTAAGTTACTCCGTGAATGCTGCCCTCTGTGACAGCTGTTCCCCAACTGAGTCTACCTGGAGCTAGGCTCTCCAGTGTCATTAGTGTCAAGGGATTAGTGCCGAAGAAATTCAGTGACGTTTTTAGGGTGCCTTTGTGCGCCAACTTAACGCTTCCCAGGGGCAGCTCAGAACAAAATACTGCCTTTGGGTTACTAAAATCGGGCATTCTTAGGATTTCATTATACATGTATATGCAACCCAGCGAAGTTGAGTCCCTATAAGCTTAGGAAGCAGACTTTAGGCATGTTGTTTCCTAATCTGTTATTAAATGCTTTGCAGCTTTTTATAGGCCAATAGTTATGAGCTCCACTGACGTACTTTTCCTTATATTGTTTTATTATTTCTGCCGTCGTCCCGTTGTTATTGCTGAGATTTGACGTTATCACCATCATCATAGTGTGTTGAGAAATCCCTAAAGAGAAATTCCTGAAAACCAATGTACGGTATACAACAACAAAAAACACGCTTTGAAAATTAAAGATCATCATCATCATCATCATCATCATCATCATCATCATCATCACCATCACCATCATCATCATCATCATCATCATCATCATCATCATCATCATCATCATCATCATTCTCATCATCGTCATCGTCATCACCATGATTTGAATCCCCATGTGTGTATTCGATTCTGATTATTCTGTTACTATAATATTATCAACTATAAAGCAACAAAGTGGAGAAAGGGTTGTGAACCCTTAATTTTGTCATCTTACTCAAAAATTGAGAACTTTTGCCACTTTTGAACTTTTAAGGAGAAAAGTTGGGTGAAAAAAGGGGCGGGGGTAGGGAGAGCAGCTATGGAACACCGTCCGCAATGGTCCTAACTTTGCAGACGCAAATAGACGAATAGACTTATGCCACGACCAATGTGAGAGGTTTAAAAAATATTACTGTCAGAAAAAAAGGCTACTTGTACTTGTACAAAATCTGATCAAGCGTTTTGTGATCTCTATTAACATCTGTACGAAGGTGATAAAATTATTAACTCAGACTCGGTTTATTATCCGTCTCTGCAGATACAAAACTTGGTCAACAAGTCGCTGAAGATGTTACGTGAGGGTTTTGACGAGTCAATACAGTCTGTCCAGAAATTACTGGAGTACATGGCTCGCTACTGCGTCAGCTTCAGCCCGCCAGAAGGAGACAGCTATCTGGAGACAGCCACCAACTACGAGAAACAAAGGAGGGATTTCGAGAAGGCAATACGCTTAAACACAGAGGTAAGGAAAATTGATTGCAAATGGTTTAAGCATCCATAGACTAAATGCGATAAGGAAGTGGTTATTCTCACCTAGGTCTCGCTATTCTCACCCCTCCCTTGTTTTACCGGAAATAACCCAAGAGGGATCAGGGCTGAGGTTACCGGGGCTAATGCTTCACAGAATCTTGTTGGTGTCCGAATAGACATACATAGACATACATGTACATTTAGATCTAGTCACAGTCAGGGCTGTCAAATTCGAGCCAAATCTCAGAAATTTGGCTCTTTTGGATCGCGTCTGGCCCGGATAATTTCATTTGGCTCTCTTGTTCTTTTTTTTTTTTTCCTTTTTTTCTTCTCCAAACTCCAAAGTTGAAGAAGGAGGGGACAGAAGAGGCCAAAAAAAAACCCCAAGAAGAAGAAAGAATGAAAGAAAAAATATGAAAGTGAAGATAGAGCTTGGATTGTTTAAAATTATTAAATTAGTTAACACGATTTAACGCCCTCGTCCATTTGGTCTGATTTATTTACAACCTTTCAACCGTCGTGCAATAGCATGGTCTGGAGCTCGTGTCTCGTTACGTTCGTACACTCTCTCTGTTCCTTAAACCATGTGTGCAGATAGAGGCTAGCATCGTTATTTGTAAACAACGAATGGTCTGGCCGGCAGCCGGTGCCACATCCCGCTCAGTGTCGGTAGTGGGCCTTTTTTTTTTTTTTTACTGGAGATGTGGAAAATGTTTTTACATTATTATTAGATCTATTCGTTCCCAACCACATGCCGTAAGCCAGGGAGGAGTCCTCACCTCTCATGCCCACACCGGGGTGGGAGCTATTCTCACCAGGGAAAAGGGGGGGGGGGGGGGTGAGAATAGCGAGACATGGGTTATTCTCACCCGGGTGGCGGTCCTCTTTAAAATGAGATTTCTGTTCTAAAATGACCTTGCTTAATCAAAATGACGCAAACGAAAACGCCATTACTCAGGGGTAGTGTTATTTTATTTACACATAAAGGCAGTATAAACTGTAAACTTGTTAAAAAATTAAAAGAATAAAACTGAGATAACTAATAACATATTATAATACAAACGTTGGCTATAGTTAATAGATTAACCCTTGTAACAACCTTTGGAAGGGCGTTCATTGTCTCCCTAAGATGAAAATAGTAAATGGTATTCGTAAATGTATACAAAATGACTGTAAAAATAAGTTGTGTTTGCCTCCACGAATAAGGTGTGTACCAAAGTGTAAGTTGTGTCGTTTTGTTGCTTTGTTTAGGAGAAGTTGTTGCTACTGCTTTTGAAGCTGTTGTGATTTTGTTGTCATCATAACAGTATAATACATTATAATTATTATTATTATTACTATTGTTATTGTTATTATTATTATTACTATTATTTTATTGTTAATGTATGCATTGCTCTGTTTTAAAAGTCCTTGTTGATTCTGATGTTACCGACTTTTAGTTGCTGCTGCTGCTGCTGCTGCTGCTGCTGCTGCTACTACTACTACTAGTTTTCTTGTCCATCTTGTAGTATTTTCCCTTTGAGGGACAAGTCAGTCAATTTGAACCCCCATACCCAAAAAATTGATAACATTGGACACACCCAATCGCCGTGGACGACCTCTCTAAGTTTTCCGGCGGTTGTAATGATCGAAGATGACGACACTGATGTACTCTTTAGTAGAGACGACCGTACGTGATGAATTGTCTCCGGGCGAGTAAATGTAAGGGTCAACATTCACGATCTTGCTATCCCGCCTGTTGCGAAATAACATGCCGTTTGGGGATTTGGCGATGACCTGCGGAGAATTAAAAAGAAATGTGTCACGACGCCGTGGATTCAGGTGCTCATCAATTTTTGGGCGTGTGAACTTATGGGTATACTTTTAAAGCTGGTTCATGTGTCTATCTTTCCATGAAAAAATACCAATTTTTCTTGAATAAAAGCGATAAGCGAAGGTAGGAGGTCGCCTGGTTTAGGAGGGAATATTAGCAAGAAAATGGCGACCAGTTTCATGACTTCCAAAGTTTTAGAGAGCCCTTGGAGAGTATAAATTTACTTTGTTTGTGCCTTTAATCAATGTTTTTCAGTCTATTTCAAACATAAAATGTGTTTTCAAATGGACGTAAAAGGTAATGAGCCA